GGTACCGAGAACCGAACTCACGACCTTGCGCTTGCTAGGCAGGCGCTTTTGCCGTTGAGCTAAATCCCCAGCCCCAAGAAAGTTTAATTCTTGAGTTTAGGTCTATGGCCTATGATCTATGGAGTAGATTGTCTATCGCTCAACTCCTCAAAACTTAAAATGACAGACTCTGGAACTAATTCGAGAGTGTTGGTGTTTTCTTGTGCACAAAAGTACAAGATCCTCCACGGAGTCTCAAAGCCTGTTCTGGAGTCAGAATGGCGTGAGATGCGTAGAAATCACATTTGAAACCTCTTGTGTCCCTTCTGTGGCTTGGTTTTTAAGGAGGAAAACAATCACAACCCCCAGAGCAGATATTTTTGCGATCTCGGTTCCGTGTCTATTTTTTCCTTGACTTCCTACATGTCTCTCTCTCTCTCCCTCGCTCTCTCTTCCTGTTTTCTTTTTGTCTTTTTTACCCCACATCATCTCATTTTACTCAGGCCATTATCAAAATGCATTTTTTTATTTTTTGTCACGAAGCGTGTTTAGATTGCCACACGGATCCTCCTGTTTCTTTTCTCACAGATGACTTAGGCTGGCTTTGCAAATCCATTTCTTTCAAGTGCCTGCGAGGAGGGTGCGTTAGTCACAGACATCCTATTGTCCACTGCCAAATAAAGTGACGACGCCCCGCAAACACACCTGCGGTAGCATAGGAGTTGCAGCGCGTGTCGGAGAGGAGAATTTGCGCGGGTTTAAAGTGTCAGGGATGCCTTTCTCTGAACACCTTTGTTTGTGGGGGTTTTTGTTTTGCTTTTGGGAGGGTGGCTTTTGGGGTTTTTTTTAGAGTCTATTCACAGTTGAAGGGAAAAAATGTTGGAAAGCAAACCATGAGCACATCATTGAGTCCTCGTTCCCAGCCAGCAGCTGTGTTGTGTGTTAATGTAACGGGGTACACTTCCCGGCGCCTCGCTGCTGTTCTTTTGATGTCCATGAATCTGACACACTCAGCACTCAAGTGTGTACGACTGTGTGTTGCTCCTTATACTCGTTACGTGTTGCCTTCTTCCGAATCATCAAAGCCTCACTAGATGTCCGGAGGCCTGGAGGAGTAAGCACTTCATTATAAATACCTCCCTTGTCTGCAGATTCACCAGGTTAAAATCCTGCACTGATTGAAACACGCCGGAACCTTCCGTGAGAGATTGTTGACAATCACTAGGTTTGTTGGGCAGGAATGTCACAGGGAGACTGTGTATCCAAAAAATGTAGAAAGGAATATTTACACGGGACAAAAAAGATACCGTGAAGTAAAAGCAGGTGAGCAGGATTGCACACATACGCAAACAGTGCATGTTATTTTCCTTAGTCTTCTGTTGCCATTATATGTCCCTGTGAGAAGCAATTTCAGCTGGATGTGATGGCACACACCTATAATCCCAGCCCTAGGGAGGCTGAGGCAAGAGGATTGGCATGAGTTCGAGGCCAGCCTGAGCTGCAAAATGAGTTCAAGGCCGGCCTGAACTGCATAGGGAAACCCTATCTCAAAAAGACATACACACACACACAAAAAAAAGAAAGGAAATAAAAGAAACAATCTGATTCCTTTTGTCTCCACTGAAGCTTATCATTCCTATTATGTTCTCTTCCAGTTCGGGTCTCTTATTTCATCTCTTTCAGTAATAGTTGGCTAAACTGCTTTTCTCCCTTGCATTACGTGAAAGTCAAGCCTAGAAGGGCGTTAACTTAGCTCATACACCACGCACCAACTTACTTTTGAGTCAGCTGAATCGATATTTAGGATAGTTCATCACAGAAGAGGAAATGCTAAGTGCTCTTTGCTTGGAAGTGACTTGCAACACAGAGAAATGCTCTACCCTCTCCCCAGGACTAGCGATTGAACCCAGGGCCTTCACACTACGCTACATCCCCAGCCTTTGTTTTTTTTTTTTTTAATTTTTGTGATAAGATCTTCCTAAGGCCCTGCGCTAAGAAAAAGTGTTCTTGAGCTCCAACCTTTACGACCTCTCAGCACCAGCGAGACGTGTACCATTCTACAAAGGAAAAGTACACGCCGCTCTAATTAAGGAGAAATGAAAAATCTCAAGGTGATTAGCCTGGAGAGTGATGTAAACTTGTGCTGTGTGACTGTCCAGTGGTTGTCATTAGTGTGGGCACCCCTGGCCTGCCTCAGATAAGGGAGAAGGACTAATTTAGGGGCAGCCTGGGTGTGCGGTGGACAGAGGCGCGGCCCCGCTCACACAGCATTTGTGTGTATCCTCACAGACAGCCGGAGGGGCTGAGAAATCGGTAACGGCCCAGGTTTCCAGAACTGGGAACGACCTACTTTCCAAGCAGTTGTCACACATGGTATTATTTCAGCCTCCTTTTCCTTTGCAGGTGGTCCGAGACATCCTGCTGATTGGACACCGACAGGCCTTTGCCTGGGTTGATGAGTGGTACGGTAAGTCGATTTCCCCAAAATAACTTGAAGAACAATTTCATAACGTGTTCCCTTGGGCTTTCAGTGCTTCTGGCTTCAACTGCTACCTAGGAAGAAAGCAACAAAGGCCGGTTACTGCTGCCTGTATGGGAAGTAGCCCTGTCCGTGACGCATAATAAAGATACAATTATAGAAGCTGGGTCTAAAATAGCCACAGAGCTACCGAGTCAGTGGGACCTCGGTACGTTTGATGCTTGCATAGCTGATGTGCAGGGCTCTGTCATTCTCTGTGGGATGGGTTTCAGACCCATTCTAATTGATCCCAAACTTCAATCCAAGATCAAAGCTGCCTGAAGCATCATGTCAAGTAAAAGCAGTCTTTGGATTCAAAGGACACTTAAAACAATCCCGTACCAAATACGCAGAAGCTCTGTAAGTATTCAAGGGCAAGCAGAGGCGAGGCACAGGTGCCCCATTAATTCTCACTGAAACTACTTTTCTGGCTTTTTTTTTTTTTTTTAATGAAATGGGAAGAGCTGAACAAGTTCTTCACATCGCCAGTGCATGGAAATAAGGTTTGCCACATGCCGTGATGGACAGACCGCTCTCCCCAGGCCCTCGGCACAATCGTTTTGTCCGCCTGAATCCTGTGTCCCCAGAATGGGTCGCCGGATAGCTGTGTGCTTGGCTATAAATAGAAATAAACACGCCCAGTGGGTGACTTAGGTTAGATCTGCTTCTCAGGTCAACGGTCCAGTGAAATGCCCTCCTTCTTGGCCTTTTCCCAAGTCGTGTTACATTTGTTCTGAATTCTTTTCTATCATTATGCCCCAGCTCCCCCCCTTTTTTAGCAGAAATTGCCTGGGTTAAAGTAAAAGCATCCTTTGGGCAGGGGGGCAAAGACGGGGGTGGTCATTCATGTTACCGGCTGTTTCTGAGCCGCATTTTTGTTTTGTTTTGTTTTTCCGGTACCGGGAATCGAACTCATGACCTCGTACTTGCCAGGCAGGCGCTGTGCCGCTGAGCTAAATCCCCAGCCCTATGAGCCGCGTTTTTAAAGGCGGGGTTCTGCAGACTGTGGGCTTTTGTTTGGTTTTGTTTTGTTTTTCTCAGTTTCCCAGATCTGCACCTTCTGAAAAATAAATGCCTCTTCCCGGACCTGTCCAAGGGCAGGTCATCATTTATTCTCTCTTATCACCTGCCCCAGGATGCCACCCTAATCGGCAGGCTGCCTTGCTACCCTCACATACCAACGACTTCTCTATTTCTGCCATCTTTTGAGGCAGGTAGACAGAGTCTCCTGTGATTTCATCTTCTGATCCTTAAACAAATATTTCTGGATGTTTTTTCTAGCACACGTTTCTCAGATTTTCAAGGGCAGCATAGACTCCAAAAAAAGAAAGTAAAGAATTTCTAGCCTCTCTTGTCTTGGACCCATGATGGTTTCCTTGTTACCAATACCAAGGAACTATCAAAAAGATATTCAAAGGGCCCAGTGTGGTGGCGCACGCCTGTAATCCCAACACTTGGGAGGCTGAGGCAGGAGGATCATTGTGGGAAACACAGGATCCTCAGGCCCCTAGGCCCTCCCTTTGTGTGGGCCGGAGCCGCAGGTTACTTGGGGTCGAGATAAAGACTAAAATGCCTGTGCCTCTTGAGGAGAAAATGCTCTCCCCTCGCAAAACCTTAAAAACTTGCTTGGCTAGGCTTTCACAATATGGGAAAGTGGCCAGAGGCCTTATAGATTAAAATAAAATGTCTCGGCCTTGTAAAAAATAAAATGTCCCGAACAGTCTTGTGGTGGTGTGACAACTTTCTGCTTCTCATGCTTTAAAAAAATAAGATAACAACCGACCTTGGTTTATTAAACACACCTAAAACAGACTGTCAAAAAAACAATTACTTGGCTCGATATATACTCATATGTTATCTAAAAAACTACACTTATATGCTATAAAACTTCTTACAAAATAAACTTCAATATACAGTTACAAACTTGGCTCTTGCTGCTCTACATCCCCTGTGTCCTGGTTTTGTGCCTCTACCCCGGGCCCCGAATACAACAGACACTCACAGATCATTGTGAGTTCGAGACCAGCCTGGGCTACAAAGTGAGCTCAAGGCCAGCCTGAACTGCATAGTGAGACCCTGTCTCAAAAAGACAAAAAAAGATATCAAAGGAAAATAGACTTGAACTGATAGAAATTTGGCAAGAGGACAGGCATCTGACGTGCCCAAAATCTGCCTCTCTGAGGACCAACAGACGGGGCATTAGATAAGTCTCTCTTTGGTGCCTAAATGCCGTGGAGGGCTTTTCCAAAAAGGCAACATCGAAAGGACAAGCTGGCTCTGATCAAGAGGGCAAAACACCGTGAGGCTGTTCATGGGCAAAGAGGCTTTGGTTAGAGACAGGATCTAGAGAAGAGAAAGTGCATGTGCGTCTCTGGTAAGCGAACGGCTGGGTACAGAGGGTGCAGCCTGATTATTTTCCATCCCAGCTGAGCTGGGCAAGGAAGAGATGCTCACCCAGCATGTGCAAGGTCCTGGGTTCAAGCCCTCGCACCAGAGAGAGACAGAGAGAGACATTCTCCAGTTACTACAGTAGGCCAAATCCAACAAAATATATTGAAAGAAACAGAAGATCTGTAGGGGAGGCCCGTGAGAACAGCTGCCTATTATTTACTTATGATGGGTTAGGTGAGGGCAGTTAACCACCCAAGGAGTCTCTTGCTCCAGATGTCCTTCCTGTGCTGACAAGGGTGATGCATGCCTATAATCGCAGCACTCTAGGAGGCTGAGGCAGGAGTATCACAAGTTGGAGCCCAGCCTGGGCAACTTAGCAAATTTGCAAGACCATGTCTCAAATAAAAATTAAATAAAAAGGGCCGGAGGTGTAGCCCAGTATGATGGCCTTAGATACTGTACATTAGTGCAAAAAAGAGTATAGTGTTAGTGTATGTAGATCATCAGGGAACCTTGTATGCCTGGATCCACAGTAGTAGCCCCAATCAAAACAGGCAGGCTTTTCACTCAGCAGTGGGGTCTGAGACCCGCACCCTCAATTTCCCATGAGCTACTACGTGCTGAGCTGAGCTAGCCAGGAACGCGGCGGCTCCTTCAGTACCTGATACATACATTCAGGAACCAAGTGAATGCAATCAGCCTCCGCCACGGGGTGTCTTCTCGGCCACCTGTTCAGGGTCCCTGTGACCAAGGCCAGGGCCCACCCAGGTAATCCTTCCACTGGTTTATTTTTCTTCTGTCCATACAGGCCCAAAGAGGCGCTTATTAGTAAATATGGAAAAGGTCCAAAGTAAAGAAACCCTTGCCTGTGGCTGGAACTTACTGGGCTGGTTCTCAAGGTGAGGTCCCCGACCTGCAATGTCAGTATCCGCTGGGTATTTGTTGGAAATGATATTCCCAGGCCCCCAGCCCAAACCTACGGACTCAGAAACTCAGGGGCGGGGGTCTGAGGATTTAGCTCAGCGGCACAGCGCCTGCCCAGCAAACGCAAGGTCGTGAGTTCGATCCCCAGTACCGGAAAAAAAAAAAAAAAGAAACTCAGGAGCGGGGGTCTAGCCCAGCTGCCTGTGTCTGAAAGAGCTCTCAAGACGATTCTGAAAGTCTAGCTTCTAGCTTGTGCTGTAAGCCAGATAAGACTGCAAAGGCAAGTGAATTAATTCAGTCCAAATAGGCTAGACTAGAAAATCATAGATATCTTTGGGGCCAGCTGCTAAACTCTGGTGCCAGGTGACAGAAAAGCAGCCCCTTTGAACAGATGGATTAGGGATGGAGGTGCTCCTTCCGGGCAGACGCAGTGGGTGCTGTGGGCTGGGGATGGAGCTGAGCCCCGTTCACCTCACTCCGAACACCCTGCTGCGCTGTCCGTGGCAGCCCTTGCTGTCTTCCTCATTGATTACTCACCACCTGCAGCGCTTAAATAAGAGTCAAGAGAAGAATTGGGCATAGTGGTGCAGGCTTGTAATCCCAGCACTCAAGAGGCTGAGGCAGGAGGATCACTGTGAGTTCAAGGCCAACCTAAACTACTACACAGTGAGTTGAAGGCCAGCCTGGACTACATAGTGAGACCCTGTCTCCAAAAAAGAAAGAAAGAAAGAAAGATATTGTACAGGATGGTGGTCTTTTCTCACCCCAGGGTTATTTTTCCATCTCTTCTGAGTTCCAGCATCGAGCTATCACGAAACTGTTTCCCTAAAGAGATTTTATTCCGCTCATGTTCACTGGACACCGTAACTGTTTCCATGCTGGAGAAGCTGTTTGTCTTTCAAAGCCCCGATTGGTCTTTATCTGTGAGCCTGGGTCTCTGCATGACCAGAACGGTAATCAGAGAAGCAACCACACATTTCAGAAGATGGGGTGAGAGGCGCGGTGGATAAAAATAGCCAGCCCAGCTTCCCCAAAGCCGGGCTTTGCTTCACACATCTGACAGTGTTTTGAAGAGGAACACTCAAGATCGCCAGAGGGCGCCTGTGACCGAGGGGAGCCTCACAAATGCCTTTGAAAACAGCCCTTCCCCACGAAAGTATGAGGAAGGCTGAGCGCTGGCTGAGCGCTGGCGGACAGATGCAAAGGTCTCATGAAAGGGACTTAGAAATCAGCCTGGAGTCCCCGGAGCAGACGGATAACGAGAAGAGCAAGGAGTCTGCTCGGGACTGGCTTCAGCTGGCTGAGTTCACCAAGACAGCGTTCTCCAGAGCCCCCAGATTTCCTGAATATGACTCCGCGCGTGGCTGCAATGCCATATTTTACACTGTGTGCGCTTCAGTTCATTTTTCTAGGGAGAGAACTCGGAGCTTCCCTGTCGAAGGAATCTGTAAATCCTTCCCTTCTACTGTAGATTATAGTTCCAGAGTTTAGCAGTCTGAATTACATGGAAATGATATGCCCAAACCTTAGGGATTAGCTGCTTTCAATTAAAAAAAAAAAAAAGACACCCAAAGATTCTTCTCAGGCAGGTGCTGTGCCGCTGAGCTATCTCCCGGCCACCCAAAGATTTTTGT